GATTCTGTGATTGGGGTGGTGGGAATGAGTGTGTCGGAGACAGCAAGGTTGGCACAGGATAGCACCATGTTTAGGACTCTTGTACATAGGGTCGCTATGAGTCGCAGGTGACTCAATGGCACATAACAACAATAACAACAACAGGTGCTCTCTGGAGAAAGATTTAACAGTCTCCTTCCATAATGGTTTATAGTTTCAGAAACCTGATAGAGGGCTATTGGTAGAATCAAGACGGTACTTTGCAGCAGATATTCCCAATGAACCATTTCTTTTTCTTTATTGACTGCTACTTCTATGGTGGTTGATTATGGATTCAAGTAAAATGAAGTAACTGACAACTTCAATTTTTTTCTCCATTTATCAGGATGTTTCCTATTGGAAAAGATTTTTGTTTTCTTGGTGTTGAGGTGTAATCTATATTTAAGGTTGTAGTCTTTGATATTTCAAGACTAAAGTACGTTAGATTCAAGTAATGCTCTTTTCAATTGCCTCAAACATTTGCGAAAGTTGGACAATGAATAAGGAAAACTGAAGGAGAAGTGATTCCTTTGAATTGTGGTGTGGTTGAAGAATATTGAATGTACAATAGAATTCCAAAAGAACAAACAAATCTGTCTCAAAAGACGTGAATCTTGAAGAAAAGAATAATGCAACTTCTTCTCATGAACTCTGGACATGTTGTCAAGATGGGACAGCCCATGGAAAAAGACATGATTGGAAAGGTGGAAGGCCAGAGGAAGTGAGGATGACCTTCAACAAGATGAACTGGTATAGTACCTGCAACAATGGGCATAAACACAGCAGAGATTGTGAGGATGGCTCAGGAACGGCAAGGTTTCGATCTATTGTGTATAGCTGTGTATAGCGTTGCTAAGAGTCAGAGTGGATTTGAGGCATCTAACAACAACACATGAGTCGGAATTTACTCAATGGCAGTGATATACTCCAGACAAGGAGAGATGATTAGTTGCTCCTTAAATGACTAGTCACACACTTTTAAGTTGCCATTTGCTGCTCATCTATCTAGAATGTAGAACATTGTCTTTGTGGACTATGCTATGCCAATTGACCTAGCCCCCTGAGACTACTGCCTTCAGGCCCCATGATCAATGACCCATTCCCTCATGGTGTTTACTAGTAGTTAAAAGGTTAATATAATATTGTGTTGTCCCCCTGTGGTTATACGATTTTATTTACATGGATATATTTAACTATTACTTGCCAAAACTATGCATGATTATGGGTGTACTCCCTTCTACTTGCCCATTTTTGTTAAAATTTTTGTTGGAAGAAAATATATCTAAGTCTCAAATAACTCTGGTATTAAGAATTCAACTTTACATAATATTCTAATGTATGTTTAAAAAGTGCCAGATAAAATATTTTTCACATATCAGCACTAAATACTTATAACATGAACCTATGCTGAACAAATGAAATTAAAGTCACATTTATATATATATGAAGTTATTCCTTATATCAAAATAAACTGAGAAACAGTATTTATTTAAGAGATAATGTATTATATCTCCAATAGTTGTAAAATTAAAGCATGCCAACACCAACAGAGAAATAAAAATAAATAAACAGGCCACTTGAGAATTGATAAAACTAGTAGTGTTTGTGTGCTATGAATGCCTCAATATCCACTAGAGAGTGTGGTAATGATTCCTAGCGTTTTTAAATTTTCATTTGATCCTTCAAAATCCTCAGAGATTTGCCCCAAGGGAAAAAACTAATAGCAACACAGTATGGCTGGCTGCTATACAAATGCAATGACTTTGGATTTATCACTGAAAGATGAGTAACTTCTTATTTCAAGAGGTGAGATGTTTTTTCATTTTATTAATGATTCTGATATATTCATTTACCATTTCAGGACATTTTATTTTCTAAGTTTGTGTCTTGTATTTGCAAGTCACAGTCGGGTAACACCATAGACTAATCAAGCAGGCAGCTAACAAACTTTGACTTGACTGAATTAACAAGTTAACACACTCAGGTCAATATGGAATCATAAGCATAATTTAAATTAGCAGGATTCCTTATTTATCAACTCTACGATAAGAATCTTATATTGCCTTTTGATGCTATCTGAACAGGCTTCTCAGAGAACAAATAATCAGCTTCCAGATGCTTTGAGTATTTATTGTTTTAAATATCTTTGAAGAAAGATTTACTTTGTTTATAGGTTTAAATATCACAAGACACTTGGGAAAGTCCAGAATGAAAAGTCAGAAGGTTTGCAGTTAAGGGTAAAACTTGGCTACTAGCTAACTGAGTGACCCTGAGTAACACTTTAATTTTTGAGGCTCCATCTTTTTCAGCTGTAGATTATCTCAAAAAGAGTAGAATTTCAGTTTATAATACTACAATTAGAGAACACTGTTATAGTAATAAGTAAATCGATTTGTATAAATAAATGTACTTTGCATCTTTAATATTAACCACATAATGTTTTACAGAGTAACTTGACTGATATTTTGAACTTCATAACATCATATTTTGGTTACAAATATTAAACATATTTAAGGAATTTATAACAGGTGACTTCATTCTTCCATTAACTTGGTATTTCTTTGTGGTGTCCACATCAAGAACAATTGTATTTTTCCTTTACAAAAAAAATTATTTGACTTAGTTAATAGACTTAGTGAACTATGTACCAACTAGGCACTTCTGACATTAGCTGTCAGAAATCTGAGTCATTACATTAGCAGGCCAGTTAGTACTCAGCTAGTAACTAACAATGCTTTCATGAGGATAACAACCAAGAAATCCTATGGAATTCATTTCTACTCTGTAGTTTATGGGGTTACCGTTAGTTCATTTTGACAGCAATGAATTTAATTTCCTGATTTTCATTTTCCCCCCTTTGGTCAGAAAAATAAAGGCTAATCTATCAGCCCTTCATTTCCAATTTCCAAATGTACTTGACTTTATCTTACATTTATTTAATTTCATTTTTGAGCTATATTCACACTGCTTAGCATTCATATCCCAACTCTATCATTTATGTAATTTTAGGTAAATTATTTAATCCTTTTATTGTCAGTCTCTTCATCTTTATAGATGAAAATAAAAGCACTTTTTTTCCGAGAAATTAATGCAGATATATAAACAGATATATATACACATCCAACCTCCCATACATAACATCCTAGAAGAAAAAGAAATACATCATTTGAAGCAAGTATCTAGTGTAACAGAAATTTTCCTCTACAATGAATACAGCTAGATTTATAATTTTCACCTAAGTATATAACTTCTTTAAGTTAGCATTCTGTCTGTTAACTTGAACTTTGTATCAATGGTAAATTTCATACAAAGCTTATAATGAAAATCATATAGGTATTAACATAAAACCATCATATTCATCAATGTGTGGTTAGTCATCAACTATGCACATGAATCTATGTTTAGCAATTCCACGTGGTTTACATAGTTCCTTGTATCAATGTTCATTGTTGCACTATTTGCTTTTATATTTTAATCATTTGTGTACCATATCCAATTAACCACTTTTCCTAAGATTTCTCCTTTAGTTGAACTTCTCTGTTCTGAAATCAGTCTCCTTACAAATTATTATTTCACACTACGTAATAAAACAATATTCTAATTACAAATATTTCATTTAATAAATTCACAATAAGTGGATCTATCATTCCCTAATTTGAAATTCTTTTGAGGTAGTAATACCAAGAATAATTTTATTTTTCTTAGAAAAATATTCTTGTTTAAGAGATTGAGTTTATGTACTATGTAGTAACGAGGCATCTGTTTTACAATTATCCATCGGAAAGCTGAAAGCTAATGTCTTATCAACCAATTTCCATGTGTACTCATCTACATATAAATAATTATTTCACTTTATTTACAGCATAGTTACTAAATAAATGGATTTGATCGAAATTTGGGGGCTCATATCCTGATTCTACCGCTTTCTATGTCATGTTAGGTAAGTTCCATAACCTTTCCACTCTCACTTTCATTATTTATTAAAGAGGAATAACAAATACTTAATAATTTATGAAAATAAAATATTAATCCTATATCTGTTTTTTATTAAGCATTAAATAAATGTTGACTAGTATAGCAATCTTTACTACTGAATCCTATAATTTATATATTTGTACATCTTCATTACACTTATCAATTCTTTCATTATTTGTGTATTACATTTTTCAATCTTTACTTTTAAAGAAACTTTGGACTCAATTGTGTAAAGAATTATAATATAAAAGAGAAAAGATATTTAAAGTAAGCTATCTGATATTTCTAGTAAAAGTAATTTCAAAATATTGTACATAAATATATGCATTTTTCTAGGGCGTTAAGTAATCACTAAATTTTTGAAACAAAACTTGGTTTTCTGGATAAAACCTTTTAAAATAAGGACTTACATGCAAGAATTTATAAAAATGAAACTATTCTGAATGTACCAAAATTTTCTCAATTCATTTGTTTGTTGAGGGGCATTTAATTATTTTGATTTTTTTTTACTTTTTAAAAAATTTTCTTGTATTAATTTTAATGAACATTTACAGAGATTTTGGGTTTTCATTTGTTCATTGTTGCACTTTTTTCTTTACCCCCTCACACACAATGAATGTGTGAAACACAATGTATATGAATGAAACACAAAGTATACCAATTTTGCATGGAAACCAAATTTTTTACAAATAGCTAACTCCTCTAAAATAAAATGTTCAAACTCAAAAGCCTAAAAAGAAAAGAGAAACTATTAAATTGATAGCATTTTTACTGCAATTTTTCCCTCACAGGTCCTTTCTGAACTATCTACATTGTCTCATGGATTCTCCGGCGGAAGAGAACCAGACTGCAGTGTCAGAGTTCATTTTATTGGGTTTAACAGATAATTCAATTCTCCGTGTCATCCTCTTCATGGTATTCCTATGCATCTATTTGGTGACCTTATTTGGCAATCTCAGCACAATCATTCTTATCAGAATCTCTTCCCAACTCCATCATCCTATGTATTTTTTCCTGAGTCATTTGGCTTTTTCGGACATTGGTTATTCATCTTCTGTCACACCCAATATGCTTGTAAACTTTCTAGTGGAGACACATACAATCTCCTATCTTGGATGTGCCATCCAGCTTGGTTCAGTTGTTTTCTTTGGGTCAGCTGAGTGCTTTCTTCTGGCTGCCATGGCTTATGATCGTTTTGTAGCAATCTGCAACCCACTGCTCTATTCGACCCAAATGTCCACACAAGTCTGTGTCCAGTTGTTCTCTGTGGCTTATGTGGGTGGTTTTCTCAATGCTTGCTGCTTTACCTTGTGCCTTCATTCTTTATACTTTTGTGGACCAAATCGGGTCAATCATTTTTTCTGTGATTTTGCTCCGTTAGTTGAACTTTCCTGTTCTGATGTCAGTGTTCCTGCAGTGGTCCCCTCATTCTCTGCTGGCTCCATCATTGTGGTCACAGTGTTCGTCATAGCTGTCTCCTATATCTACATCCTCATCACCATTCTGAAGATGCGCTCCACTGAGGGCCGCCACAAGGCTTTCTCCACCTGCACCTCCCACCTCACTGCAGTGACTCTGTTCTACGGGACCATTACATTCATTTATGTGATGCCCAAGTCCAGCTACTCGACTGACCAGAACAAGGTGGTGTCTGTGTTCTACATGGTGGTGATTCCCATGTTGAACCCCCTCATCTACAGTCTTAGGAATAATGAGATTAAGGGGGCTCTCAAGAGAGAACTTAGTAGGAAAATATTATCTTAATAAAATATTTTCTTTTGTAAAGTTTTCTATAATAAGATACCATGAATACTTACTAAAAGAAAATTGAGTTACTCTAGTGAAAATTTATCTGCATATTATTAGTTGATATGGGGGTTTATACTAAATGTGCAAGTATGTTTTAGATATAAAAGTATAACTCAGAAATAGTGAAATACCAGTAATGAAACAAAATCAAATTTGTAATTAAGACAGTTCACATAAATTTTTTTTATTTTAAACTGTTGAAAATTCTTTTCACAGGCTATATACTATTTTTCATTAGCAACAGTATCTCAAAATTATTGTACCTCCAAACCTTTAAGGCTATCTTTGTTTTCAATATTAGCTTACTCTGAAATGAACCTGATAACCCTTCTTATACCTTGATTGGTGCATCTGGAGAAAAAAATAGCAAAGTGGAATCAGATAGTAAAATCTCTAGAGTTGGTCTGCTGTAGAAATGTTACTGCTGAGGACAGGCTGTATCACATCATAAAGTTCTATCACTGCACTTAGGTACCTGGCTCTGACTTTTGTTCAGAATTCTGGTCATCCCAATATAGAGTATGAAATCTCTATGACTAACCTGTGAATGCCTCAGTTATGTTAAAACTGATAACTTTCCTGTGGGAATGAGCACTGTATCTTAATATTTTAGTTACTAAATGTATCAAACTTTGGGAGTAATTTATTTACCCTTGGGCACTTTCAGGGCCCTAAAAACCATTTTGTGGTGGTGGTGATGGTGGTGTTAGTGGTTATGTGCCTACAAATTGAGTAAGACTCACACCCATCCTATGAACAACAGATATGAACTCTGTCCTATTCTATGTCATCCTCAATTTCTGACCCATTCAAGCCCTTTGCTGTAGTCACTATGTCATTCCGCATAGTTGAGGGTCTTCCTCTCCTTTGCCTTCCCTCCAGCTTTCCAAGCATGATGTTTCTCTCCAAGCAATAACCTTTCCTAGCAACATGCCCAAAGCATGTGAGATGAAGCCTCATCATCTTTGCCTTCAAGGAGCTCTCTGACAGCACCTTTTCCAAGACATATCTGTTTATTCTTATGGAAATCCATGAGATATTCAGCACTTCAACACCATTGCTCAAAAGCATTAATTATTCTGCCATCCTTATTCATAGTCCATCTTTCAGATGCATTGTAAGTGACACTAAAAAGATCATGGTCTGAATCTAGGACACCTTAGTCTTTAGATTGACATCATAGCTCTTCAGTAATTTGAAGATGTCCCTTACAGCAGACTCTCCCAATGTAAAATGTCTCCTAATCTCCTGACTTCTGGCCCAAGGATTCTGAGTGTGGATTCAAGTAAGATGAAATAATTGACAATTGCAATCTTTTCTTCATCTATCATGATGTTGCCTATTGGTCCAGTGGCAGGGATTTTTGTTTTCTTGATGTTGAGATTCAATTAATATTAAAGGCTCCTAGAGATGCTTAATTATTGTTACTAATGACTATAATATCCATTTCTGGTTTACTCTGTCCTCTTTAGTGTTTTAGACCAAAATACTTTTTGTCTATTGAATCTTGGGCATAAATTGTCAACAACTAAAGTAATCATCTTCTTTCAAGCCCAAGCTATTTTCTTCAATTATTCTATATCTCAGTAATAGGTGCGTCATCTAATCGAATGCAATTTTGGTTTTAATCTTTATTTTATAGAGGATGCAAAAGAAGTAACAAAAAAGGTGAACAAATAATTTGACATTGGTTCCCAATAAGGAAATAATTTTATAGCCTCTAATTGAAGACAATGAAGCAATGCCCTTCTTTATGTGGGAAATATAAACAGGACAGTAAGGGCTGGGTTTCCAACACCCTTGACTGTAAGAAGGTCAGGGAATAAGTGCTTGACTTTTATAAATAAGGTATTGGGGAGACTCAGCCAGATGCTAAATATAAACACTAGGCCCTTCACTACACCTCAACATGGAATTATTGCTAAAAAAGGTGGTGGTGATTACATAATATGGATATAATTAACATCACCACATTGCATATTTAAAGACTGTATGAAGATAATTTACTTATATATGTACACGTGCTGATAATGTAACCATAAATCGAGCACACAGGGAGCAGAGTTATGAAAAATTCTTAGCTATAACTGAATGCCTTGCAAGAGTTAGTCACTAGGCCTAGAGACTCAAGACCACAATCTTGGGGACAGCAGGACTGAGTGATATAGTTCACAAAGACAATGTTCTACATTTAGCTTTCATAAATAGTAACAGGGATCTTAAAATCTTGTGAGTAGTCAACTAATGGTGTGTCTATATACAAAATACAGTGAAGAAAATAAAAGATTTGTGTAGACAATAAATCGAAAGGACCAAGAACTGAAGGAAAAAACCTCAAGCTTTGAGTTATACTAGTAAAAATGGGCAATAAAAATTGAATGATAGAGGAAGTATAAAAAGATGGAAGGAGTATTCCCAGTTACTGTACCAAGAAGAGTTGCCTGACATTCAACTTATTCTTGGAAAAAGTGAATAAAATTAGAAAACCATATAAAATTGCCATCCTTGCTAGAAGTTATTGTGTCAACTTTGACTCATAGCAACCCTATGTAGAATAGATGGAAAACCTGTATCATCTCCACTGTGTCTAAATTCATCATTGCAATCACAGTGTCAATCTCATTGAAGGTCTTCCTCTCCTTCTCTGATCCCTTATCTTTCTAGGCACAATGTCCTTTTACAAGGAGGGTCTCTCCTGAAAGCATGCCCTAAGAAAGTGAAATAAATTTTTACCATCCTTACTACTAAGGAGAACTCTTCCAAGATTATTAATAGGACCATTAATCAATAAAAAGATGAATTATGCATATTCTACAGACATTAAGAAAATAAAGCAGGGAATACTATAAATTATTTATCACATATAAATTTGATAAATAAATGAGATGGTTATTTTCCAGAAAAAAAGTAACTTGTTTGAAATAACTGATAAAAGAAAACAGCATGTTTCCTCAAAAAGTTCAACATAGAAACTCCATGACTAGGAATATATCCCACAGAAATTAGAACTGAGACACAAATGGAGATTTGTACAAGAATGTCCTTGTAAGAACATGGAAACAACCCAAATGTCCAACCACAACCGAATGGATTGAGAAACTGTGGTACATTCACACAGTGGAATAGTATGCAGCACTCAGGAATAACAATTTCAAAAAACCACTACATAATTTGGGAAAGCCTTGAGAGTATTATGCAGAGTGTACTCACTCAGTCTCATAAGAACAAATACTGCATAAGGTCATTACTCTAAAAGTAGAAGGACAATCAGTATAGGAACCCAAGTGGGAGCAGAGTGGTGAGGATGAGAAGGTGTGAAACTACAGGGTTGCACAGTGTGGTGGGTAATTATAATTTGTTTCCTCCCATTATATACCCAGGGGTGATTTGTTATTTCTCTTACTGAAGTTATCCAATTGATGAAGTACTATCATCTCATGATACCTTTTAATCCCAGATTACATCCCATTTTTCTGTATCTCCTCAAAAACAGCAACTAGCTCAGGAATTGGCCTTGCTTCACCTAGAACCTCCTCAGGATACTTCAATAGGAATCTAAAAGTTTCTAAAAACATGGGTGAGGGCATAATCCTAGGGTCACACAATTTGATGGGTGGAGGGAGAGGTGGGTTAAGGAAATGGGAAAGATGGGAAAGATCTGGTGTGGAAAACAATGTATATGAACTTTGTAAGTAAAGCAGTAAAAAAGAAAAAAATTATTTAAAAAAATCATGACACTTTTCTCCATTGCTCTCTCCATTGTTGTGAGACACGTTATGTCCCTCCACAGTACAATTCTTTGCTACAGCAAATTAGCAAAGTTGATTTACTGGGCTACAGAACTGTTCCTGGTGGCCTTTGGCTGGCTAACATCACAGTTGTTGTTATGTGCCTTTAACATCACAGTTGTTGTTATGTGCTGTTGAGTCACTTGTGACTCCTAGTGACCCCATGTACAACAGCTCTGAACCCTGCTCTATATTAAGCCAACCTTGTTGTCTCTGACACACTTACCCCTTTACCTCAGTAACCGAGTCAATCCATCTCATCCATGGTCTTCTTCTCTTTCATTTGCACTTTCCCTACACTCTTCTAAGCATGATGTCCCTCTCCACGGACTGGCCCCTCCTGGCCAAAGTATGTTAGATAGATCCTCAAAATCCTTGCATCCAAGGAGTAGCCTGATTTTTCCATCTCCAGAACAGACAAGTTTGTTCTCTTAGAAGTCCATGGTATATTCAATACTCTTCCCCAGCACCACAAGTCAAAGGTATTCT